CCAGTGACCCAGCCAGAGCCTCGTAACTCATCCAGCTGCACCGGCCTCCACTCCAATCTTGTATCGTCGGGACTCGTTTTCCTCCACAGTGGTATTCTGAGATGCTGTGAGAAGTGAGGGATCGGCCTCCTCAGGACACCACTGAATGTCCCAGTCACTCCCAGTTTCTTCCCGGTCTGCATCACAGCCAGTCGTGGAAACAACAGCAGGCTTGTGAGGAAGCGCATCGGGTCGGGTCTGAACCATCGGCCTGAAAGCCCGACTCGCTGCACAGAGCCTGAGGCTGTCATTCACACCCTTCTTCTGTTCAGCACCCACTGAAACTTAATCGTGCTCTCCTCGGGGTCTGTTTGCACTTGGATCTTGGCCCGTAAGTGTGTCTGACAAAAACCAGATCTCTGTACGTTTGCCTATTCCACAATACAGAAATGTGGAAATTGGAGAAATCTGAACTGTTAGCAGCGCTTTGATGATCCTTAGCCAAACGCACCACATTACAACGCTGAAAATGCTGAAAAAGCATTTCAAGAGCACTTAAAAGGATGGAAAAGCTGAAGGGTTCATGGATAGGTTGCTCACATTACAGAACATTTAGTGTAAAATCAGTCGCAGCACAGAAATCTGTCATTTAAGTCAGACAGTATGACACTTCTCCAGTTACTCCAGCCCCACACTGAGATCTTTCGACGCGCAGCAGCTCGAGTCTCATATAATTGCTTTGTTCTCAAGCTGTTCCTCCTCACAAAGCGGTGGCATTAAACATTCAAGTGTTGTGTAAAACATATTGGCACTAAATCTATCAAACCCAGAACCTCGTGTAAAAGAACAGACACGCTGACGTCTCTCTGCGTCTGTGGTTCTTACAATCATCTTGGATAAGTCAAACCCAGAGTTTATGTGTGTGTGTGGTTCGATCTCGTACACGAGTGATTAACAGAAAGCGTCTCTGACACTGCTGCTGTGCCGCCTGCAATTTTCCCATCATTGTTGCACATCAGAATAGCGCCCGGTGTCTCGAACGGTCACCCTGTGTGTCTGTGACAATGCTTTAGTGATCCACACAAACGCACGCTACAGCAGTGTTGGTACAAAGACCTTTTGATGATGGTCGGGGGGACGGCATCGCTCTGGCTCAGTGCTGCCTGCACGCCGCTGCCTCTGCAGCGAGCAGCCCCTCCCTCTACAACTCTCTGCTCTCATTCAGCTCCTCTTGAAGTGGTGGAGAGAATCGTTTCTAAAGTGTGTGTGTGTGTGTGTGTGTGTGTGTGTGTGTGTGTGTGCGCTCCTCTGTGAGAGTGCGCTCGTGCTTGCTTAATTGACACTAAGATCTGGGAGCTGGGATGAGCTTTGGGTACCTGCTACTGAAGGGATTTGAAAGAGGAAAAGAAGCAGGAGAGAAGCAGACAGAGGGAGGGAGAAGAAGCCGATGGATGATGGGAAAGAAGGACTTGCTCGCGGAGCTTAGGGCTGGGCCATATTATACCGTTCACGGTAATACCGGTATAATGTTAGGCAACGATAGGAAAATGAAATATCGCGATAGAATGGGAGTAAAACGCGCATGCGCAGTGCCTTTGTTTTCATACGCACATGGCCGATTGTTGAGTGAAACAGATGAACCAGAATTGGTTTGTAAAAATGGTGCAACTTCAGTGATGTGGAACTGGTTTGGTGTTTGTCCGTCAGATACACGACAAAGCACATTTTTTTGCAGAACATGCAAGCGGCCGTCGTTATTGTCGTATTTGTCGGACTAAGATGCTCTTAAATCTGGGAGTAATCTGGGTCCTAAACTCCGTATGCTTTAGGTCAAAAAACACTGCAGCATCACTGAGAGTTCAAAACTGTCTAAATTCATCTTTAATAAAACGATCAGCATTGCTGCTTTACCAGGTGTAACTATAAAGTTTAACTTCCAGGCATCCATGAAAACAAAAGTTATTACATTTAACGGAGTTAGAAATTAGCAGGAAGCTAGCGGAAGTTAGCTCGCTAGTTTCGCTAGTTACCTAAGCATGATATAGCATGTTCTGAGAGATTTCTGAAAACATTCAAACGTACAGCTCTGCTATCACTTCCAACATAAATGAAGACAGGAAACTAAACAGCAGTGACGTTTGTAGGGTTACTGAAGTTGGGCTAGCTGGTATATAATGATGTGCTACGTGATCGCTAGCGACACAGCTATGTTAGCATAACATAAACAGTGAAGCTGGAGGACAAACACTAACACTTTTCCACCTATAAAAGTTAACGTGAAGGTTCCTCATGGTTAGAGACAAATGCAATCGCTTGGCAGGATGCTGTAAACGGACCAAACTTCAGTCAGGAGAACAACTGAGATAATCCATCCACAATACGAGGTTAGTCATTACTATACTGCAACAACATGGGAATAGAACAGCTGCCAGAGAATTCAACATTAATGAATCAATGGTACAGAAGTGGAGGAAGCAAGAAGAATGAGTTGAATAAAGTTTGATTTATCTGACTGCTTTGTTTCGCTTAATGTGCCTTATAATCCTGTGCACCTTATGGTCCGAAAAATACGTACTGCACACTGCAGTTTAATATTGCAAAGCACCTCTTTTTAACTTCAGTGGATATTATACATGGTTATGCTCAGGATATGTCAGCCCATTTCTACTGGAAATGCCTTTTGGTTAAACTTTCAGCAAGGAATTTGCATTTGCACTGTTACATTTTTATAAAGCTTTAATGTACATAAAAACCAGCTTCTTGTTTAAGTGAAAATAAATGGAAGGTTGTCTTTTTGCGCTAGTAATGTTGTGGAGTTGTATTTTGTCTCGCATCAATTATATCGTCGGTTATATCGTTATCGCAAATTTTCAAATATATATCGTGATAAATATTTTTGGCCATATCGCCCTGCTCTAGCGGAGCTGACACTTTATTTTAGTAAGATAAAATCGAATAAACGTTACCAATAACAGGCATCTCCAGTGATAATTATTAGATACATCACAGAGCTCTATGTAATCCCCCCCCATGTGCTGTGCTGCCAACAGATGCGCTGCTTCCACCTCCTTTTGCTACTGCAGCATCGCTCACACTCCAGCAGAGAGACAGAGGAGCAAAATGGCAGATTAGCTGATGCTGTATCAGTCGGGCCACATGGTCCTTATTCTGTGTGAGGGTCTGACTCACATGTTGCCCACGCATAATGCAAAACTGTCCGGCAGCATTCAGGTGGCAAACGATGGGAAAGGACCCCCCACACCCCCCCCCCCCACATGCTCTAAACACAGCCTCTCTCCAGCATGAGTTAGCCAAAGATGCTGCATCCACCACCCCTCCCTAGCACTATCATTCCCTTTCCTCCCTATTACCACTTTCTCCTCATCCCTCTCCACTCACTCCTCCACTTGCACAGCAAGCGCTCTGAGATCCTCGGCTTTGCAGAGGATTTTCTTCCCCGACTCTGCATGTGAAAACTGTCAATATCCGACATGGGATCATGATGGAAATGACAGAGACAGATAGGACCGCTCCGGAGCTCCTTATTAAAAGGTTTCCTCTGAACAAAACATAAGGAGGTTCATCTTGTAAGAGGGGGGTGCTGAGTCACCCATGACAGGGGATGAGGATGTGGCTTCTTGAGCTCTATGTGCTCTTACTGGCTTGTGCTCCAAGATGCTAAGATTAGATATGCCACTGTGCATCAATACATTCTTGGTGTGGCTGTAGGCTGTGCGGCTAAAACCATCCTGTCTTGATGATCGGCCAGGCGCCCAAGGCTCTGTGGCTCTACAGTTGACAGACTGGCCCTAAAGCCTTGGGGATGATGACTGAATACACACTGTCCTGTTTGAATTGGCCCCTCCTTCTCTGTCCCAGGGGCTGCCAGCTGCTTTAGATATGATAGGGTTAAAAAAAAGTTAAGTGTCCCAAATATTTTCAGGTGGACGGTTAAAGTGTGACCATATCAAGTAGTCAGCAGCAATAGAAAGCTGCCCTTTAACCAGGAAAAGCCTTCTACGCACAGAAGAGCCTTCTCTCCCATTCAGCACACTTCCCTCTATTCTCGTGCTGCAGCATTATATTTAACCCATTCAGTGCCGCCACCTGAGCGAGCAGCACGCTATAAAGATTCAGCTTTATGATGATAAAGCAGGCATGAGGAGAAATGTTGACCTGGTCTGATGTAACACTCAAACCGAGCTTTAAAGTAAATACAGAATCATTACTTCTTTTATTTAGAAGCTTTAACAAAACATAGTTAAAATATCTCGTTTTGTTTTAACGTCTAATATGCCAAACAGTTTATCAAGCTCCTTATCAGTTTCACATCACTACGGCCTTAATTTCCATCTGCGCTGCGTTTTAATGAAACGCGCTCTGGATCTCCGCTCAGAGCAGTGAGGAGCTGCGGACACGCAGACTAACAGGATTAGCAGCACATGGCCTCATCACGGCCTCACACCTCGAGCTGGACCCGGGCTATTAGCTGCTGGACTAAATCTCTCCAAGAACCAGCGATGCTTCGCAGTGACACACACTCACTCTCTTCCCTGCTTGTCTCCCAGGCACTGTTAAATGGCTCTGACACATCAGCGACGTCGCGCTCGGTGCGTAAGCCTGTTGGGGCGGGCTCGGCCCGTGGACGGAAAGCCGATCGCCTTAATTGATCGATCCTCAATAATCTAGAGACCGCGAGGAGGGAGAAAAGCCGTTTAGGTCAAGTCTTTGTTGAGTGACAGAGAAGGCGTGTTTGATTTAATCACCGCTGGCAGGGACCAATCTATAGCAATGAAACACAGCACTGTGGTCTTAACAGATAGCCCACTGCGCTCGGGCATGCCCATTGTTCCGCCCGTCTCCGCTAAGGTAAGGCTGGTCGCTCCGCGAGAGTGGAGCAGCCCACGGACAATTAGCGCACAATCACTTCAGAGAAATACAGACCGGCGCTCTACTTTCTGTCAGATAAATGATAAAAACATGCTGTGATTTCAACGAAACAGAGTAGGCAGCTGTCTTACCGGCTACGGTGTATCTATCCATGTAATTGAGGACGTTCCCAAAACTGAGGATCCCGGCGGCGGCGGCCGGTGAGCGGCATTTCAGCAGCGCGGCGCGGAATTTCTGCCCCGGTCTGCAGGGGTGAAGGTCCGGGTTGGATTTCAGTCCGGGACTCATGCTGCCCGACAGCGTGCGCACCTCATCCGAGCTGCTGCAGCCTTCAATTTCGCATCCATCGCTCTCCACGCACATTTTCTGGCACGAAAGATCCAGCGCAGAAGAAGAAGGCAGGAGAGAGCGAGGGAGGCTACGGAGTAGGAGATAGTTGACGGGGACCGCACTCAGCGAGGCTCGGAGATTTCTGGTGGAATCAGTCGCAGTGGAAGTGTTGTCTTAATTGCTGAAGCGCAGGAGCAGCTCTTCTCGGAATCATAATTTCTCTGCCAGTGCGAACGGACAGCCTGTGCGCGCCTCACTTTTTATTTTTTTAAAGAGGAGGGAGATCTCCTCGTTACGCTCCGCCCCCCCACCTCCCAGAAAACCTGCAGCGAGCGATGGAGCCGCACCTGACACTCTGTTATTTCTAAGAGAAGCTGGGAAGGATTTTATGTCTTTATTTGTGTCTTTATTTCACCGCATGGATGAGAGAGCAAAACCAGGTTTCTATTTAAATGTGTCAGTTATTATTACTGAATAGTTATTGCTAATAAAAGTAGGTCAGCGAAGAATGTTGCACAGATATATTTCGGGCTCTACATAACCGCCCCGGTGTGCTATATGTGCATTCAATGGTCCTAAAATAAATGCGCATACTGATATTCCAGGTTTGTTTTTGTGTTTCTTGCTTGTATTTGTTTCTAACGTGTCAAAAAAAGATCGACTTAGTTCCGATCGCCATTAGCTGCCAGGTATTTGAGATATGTTCATGTACATAACAGCCACAGATATGGAAAGCTGCATGCTTACTGGAAGGAAAGAGGAAATGCATTCCGCGGTTGTGCTTGAGATCAGACTGATAATGATTAAGATTATGCACTATTATGATTAAGCACTGCTGCTTTTACTTCATTTCCAAGCTTTTCAATGCTGATTATGAATTAGGCAGCTATTATTTCATGTATCATTCATATCTTTATTATAACTATGTTGTGTATATCTGTTCTCTTTGCAGAAATCTACAGTGAGCACTGTGTGAGTGTTATGATTACATTTTCTGTGAATTAAATTATCAAGTGTCCAGACACATGTGTTCTATTTAAAGTGGTCACCAGACTCAGTGGTAACTGGTTACAGGGCTTCCCCCACCACAAACCCCGACTTCAGGCAGCAGATAGAATCCAGCATCACAGAAGGAAACCCCCGTGTGTCCGTGTTGTACACACATTAGACTGTTCTCCCTTTTCTATCAGTGGTTAGTGCAGGTGGAGTTTCATTGCTGAGGCAGGCAGGATGGAGAAATGAGAGTTTCAGGGAAGTCTTTGACCTTTTTTACATGACACTGCACGTCATCGAGCCTTATCCGGCTCGTTTGGTCAAATCTTAGACTAGAACTGTGTTTTTAGCTTGAAAATGAAGGAATAACACATAAGGGAAAATATCTTTAAAATATCCTTTGAGCGATTTGCCGGCATGCCCGTCTGAGTCTGAGCTGCTTATCGTCCTAACTTTAATTAATTTAATGCCGTGCACACATTTGGGAGATGTTTGCTTAAAAGATAAACCAAGAAGTTTCGACAGATCCTGGATGACACTGAAAATAAATGATTATCATATCTGCAATGAAGAAATCCACAACAGCAATTTATTTCTTCGCTGGCATTTATATGGTATCTTCCTAGTCTGACTGCTGAAAGCACTTTAGATGATAAGCCACACTCACCTGTGCACATATATATTCACTGTATATAGTAGTTAAGTGCTTTGTCTACTTTGCATCCCTGCCTTCAGGCACCAGGCGAGTCACCAATCATAGCATGGCTGTATTAGCAGTGTGGGTGGAAGATAAAGTAGAGGAACCTGGAGCGTGGTGCTAATGACGGCTCTGTAATCTGTAATCCCATAAAATGGAGTGACAACGTAAAACTGGGTGTTAGTTCAGCGATTTAACACCAGTCAGTCAGATTGTTCTGAGGTTTGCATCATTTCATCTCATCAAGAAATTAGGAAATATACTTATGAGTGAGAGCCAGTTAATGATGCTTTCAAGCTGGTTGTTTACAAGTCTTGTTTATTTGTGAACCCTCTTCTTTGCTCCCAAATAGCTTCTCAGAACAGGACGGGTGATGGAGAAGGAAGCTGGATGAATATTAACATTGGATCTGTTTGTGTGTGGTATCCCAAGTGGTTACAGAATAAAGCGATGGAAGTCATACATCTGGTCTGCCTAAAGGAGGATGAACAGATTGCAGCTGGCTCCGTTCTGTCAGTTTCAGCAGTTTCTGTACCCGTCTGTGCCCCGACGTCACGACAGACAATGGCAAAGAAAAGAAAAGCTAAAGTGAGAGCAGGAACTGTACACAGGCGTCAAAAGACATAGAGACGGCTCGTTACTTCAACGACAGCTTCAGACACACTGAAGAAGATGCTGGTGCCCTAAAAAACTGGGCTCACACCTTTATGAGTCTTCCTTCAGGAGGTCATGAGGAGTTGTTGCCTAAAAAGGAAAAGTACCTGCGTCTAAATGATTGGGAGGGGTCCAGTCCTGCAGCATGATCCTGAATAGTGTTTCTGTGCCGCCTTTCTCACCATCCTACTGTGTACACAGCATCAGTCTGACTTTTTCCAGGCAGGAATCCCAGCGTGTCCCCACCATGATCGACTACATGTGGAATTTTAGCAGAAAGTTGTGACGCAGGGCAAGAAGACGTTTGTTGATTTAACACGAGGACAGAGCTCAGTGATGCAGTGAGAAGAGGGCGCGTTCCTGACAGGTGTAGTTTCATTGTACTGAAAGCCAGAGAGGACACGGGCCAGTAAGCTGCTTTCTGAACCGCCTGTAAACGATTAGGTTTTGTTCTCTGATCTACCTGATGTGAAAGTGAGAGCTATCAAACTAGTTAATCGCCAATCAGCACGTGGGGTCAGATCGCTATGGAGACGATGAGGGAGGATGAATCCTGGCGTCAGTGAGGGTGGAGGCTGGGTGCTTGTATGGCTGTGGCCAGGATGTTGTGTGCACCAGATGCATTTTTTCGTTTGTTTGTTTGTTTTGTTGACTGATTTAAGTCAGCTCATCCTGAAGCCCCTCATTAGATTTGTTTTGCAGGACTTCTAAGCAGTCATCCATGTACTTCCTGATAACTTTGATGTCTAAAATAACAACTATGATGCAAAAACTGCAGCCTGACATGCTTATCCAGGCAAGTGATACAAGAGCTGCTTTTGTAATGCTGCAGACTGACGTCCAGTATAGGGAAGGATGCAGGAAAAGACCAGCCCGTGGCCTTATGTAGAAGGTTTGGAAGATCAGAGGAGAGATCCCTGGTAAAGACTTGCTCCCGTCTCCCTCTCTGGAGCCCCCGCTCCCTCTTTCATTGGTATGTGTTTGATATGCTGGTCATGTCTGTGGGATCCTGTGTGTTTTTCCATCATGCAGAATGGCTCGGTGGGCCCAGAACTATCTGTAGCATTATTCTACCATGTGGCTCGGAGCCACAGTCACTGCGCCGGCCTTCCTTCCTGTCTAAGCTCAGGGCTGAGCCTCCAGTGCAGGATGGGAGATAACCGACTAATCGCTGCACCCAGCGCCTGCAGGACGATAAGGCCGGCTCTCGGTGCATTCTGAGACACGTGGGGGCCACTAAAGTTTAAATGTCCCACTGACACATGTCTATCAGCTGTGCGTCTATCAGCTGTTTTTCTGGTAAACACATCTTCATGTCTTTCAGTCCATGAAGTTCACAAGAACCCACAAAGTATAAGAAGAAGAAGAAAGTAATGGGCATTATTTGGTTAAACTTCCAGCTCACTGTAGATTTCTGCAAACAACAATCGAGAATCACTCGATTGTTGTTTTTAATCACTGTAAAGGTTACTTCATGGCCTCAGTCTGCCTGTGTACGCACCATGAACATGTTCCTCCCTCGACTGAAAGAAACAGCGTCTGTTTGAAAACTGTGCATTAGACTGAGCTGAGCAAAAATGAGCAGCTGTGCATTTTCTGTCTGATCATTGTAACCTACGCAGGACGTTTTTAGTTAACATCTGCTACCACTGCACAGAGCTGTAGTTTTGTATTTTATTGCTTTAAAACAAAAAGCCCAGACAGAAATCCCTAAACAACGTGCCCAGTTGTCCTCTCAGAGTCCTGACTGAAACTAGAACAGTTTTACTTTTAAAGCATCTCTTTCTTTGATTCAGTTAAATATACATTTAAAAACAAACAGAGTTGATGAACTGTGTAGTCCAAGTAGGACAGTAGGACCTCTGAATAATCCTTATTTCTTTATGCTAAGAGGACAGAAACTCAGGCAGATGCAGGCTGAGGGAGGGGCGGCCATCTACCAGAACAGAGAGCAAAGGAGTGAAGAAGAAGCATTCGTCATCATGGGAAGTAGAACCCTAAGCTGGAGAGGAAATGGCGTGTCACAAATCTAGAGGATCATCATTTAGCCTGGAGAAATAGTTTGCTGCTTTATAAGAAAGCCCTCCGCAAAGCCAGAACATCTTACTATTCATCACTGATTGAAGAATAAGAACAACCCCAGGTTTCTCTTCAGCTCTGTAGCCAGGCTGACAAACAGTCAGAGCTCTGTTGAGCCAACCATCCCTTTAACGTTAACTAGTAATGACTTCATGAACTTCTTCACAAATAATATTTTAATCATTAGAAAAAAAATTACCAATAATCATCCCACAGATGTAATATTATCTACAGTTACTCTTAGTACCATTGATGTTAAGTTAGACTCTTTTTCTCCAATTGATCTTTCTGAGTTAACTTCAATAATTACTTCCTCCAAACCATCAACGTGTCTTTTAGACCCCATTCCTACAAAACTGCTCAAAGAAGTCCTGCCATTAATTAATTCATCCATCCATTTTCATCCGCTTTATCCGGGGTCGGGTCGCGGGGGCAGCAGCCTAAGCAGAGAGGCCCAGACCTCCCTCTCCCCAGCCACCTCCTCCAGCTTATCCGGGGGAACACCAAGGCGTTCCCAGGCCAGCCGAGAGATATAATCTCTCCAGCGTGTTCTGGGTCTGCCCCGGGGCCTCCTCCCGGTGGGACATGCCTGGAACACCTCACCCAGGAGGCGCCCAGGGGGCATCCTTGTCAGATGCCCGAACCACCTCAGCTGGCTCCTTTCGATGTGGAGCAGCAGCTGCTCTACTCTGAGCCCCTCCCGGATGGCCGAACTTCTCACCCCATCTCTAAGGGAGAGGCCAGCCACCCTTCGGAGGAAGCTCATTTCTGCCGCTTGTATCCGCGATCTCGTTCTTTCGGTCACTACCCACAGCTTGTGGCCATAGGTGAGGGTAGGGATGTAGATCGACCGGTAAATTGAGAGCTTCGCTTTTACACTCAGCTCCCTCTTCACCACGACGGACCGGTGCAGCGTCTGCATTACTGCAGCTGCAGCCCCAATCCGTCTGTCGATCTCCGGCTCCCTTCTCCCATCACTCGCAAACAAGACCCCGAGATACTTGAACTCCTCCACTTGGGGCAGGAACTCATCCCCGACCCGGAGTGGGCACTCCACCCTTTTCCGGCTGAGAACCATGGCCTCAGATTTGGAGGTGCTGATCCTCATTCCCGCTGCTTCACACTCGGCTGCGAACCGTTCCAGTGCGAGCTGGAGGCCCTCACCCGATGAAGCCAACAGAAC